CGCGTCGCCCCTTGTGGGGGGGGAGGAACAGCCACGCTGAGCTGGGAGGGGAGACCAGCCCCCAGAGCCCGCACCAGCTGCTCAGGGTGCCTCGGTGCACAGCGAGAAGGGACCGACACTGCGCCCTCCCTCCCCCCCAGCACCTGCCTGGGGAGGGCTGGGCACCAAGAGCCACAGGGCGTCTGGGAAGAGGCCCTGTTTCCTTTAAATAACTGCTGTGGGGAGCAGGGGGAATGTCTTAATCTCTTTAGTTCTGGTATCTGCCTTTAATGCAGTTGGCTTAGGTAATTTTTTTTGATGTTTTAAAAAACATAAATTTAGTGCTCTTCAGAGGTGCCAGTCTGAATATGAAGCCTAGAAGATCTAGCATGAGCAGTGGTTCTGAAAGCTGCCAGTGATCCCTCATTCCTGAGCATTTTTAGTCTCCTTGCCCAAATGATTCTTGGCTTCTGCAGAAACAATCTGCAGTGGTTCCAAGCGGCCGAGTAAAAAAACACGGACACTTAACATATGCGCAATGTATCTCAAGTGGCATGTGACCAGGATTCATCATTGAATTTGGTCTGCTAGTTGGATAATTATCTTCCCTGTTTTAGAATGGGTACTGTTGGGGAATGCAACACAGGCAGTCATCCAGGCCTACTGACAATTTCACTAGGAACTAAATTTAGGTCATCAGCTCATCTCACATATCACCAGATTTGATTGGCCATTAGTGACCTGGCATCAGTATCTCCTACTCCCCCCAGTAACAGAGGGGGTGTAGGGTGTGGGGAGGAGGGGATCAGATATCTGCCAGGATTTATGTGTTTCAGACTGAACCCTGCTGCATTCCACCAGAACCTTTAAAGTCTCTGCCCAGTAATATTTTTCATAGTCATAGGTGATTAGGGTTGGAAGAGACCTCAGGAGATCATCTAGTCCACAACCCCCTGCTCAAGTAGGACCAACCCCAACTAAATCATGTTAGCCGGGTTTTTGTCAAGCCTGGCCTTAAAAACCTCTAAGGATAGAGATTCCACCACTTCCCTAGATAACTCATTCCAGTGCTTCACCACCTTCCTAGTGAAATAGTTTTTCTAATATCCAACTTAGACCTCCCCCACTGCATCTCACCATTGCTTCTTGTTCTGTCATCTGCCACCACTGAGAATACCTGGCTTCATCATCTGTGAAGCTGTTGATTATTCCCCATTGAGCCTTTTAGAAGCTTCAGGGGGTAGCCGAGTTAGTCTGTACAGGATAAACTTAAAAAAACCCCAACAAACAGTCTGGTAGCACTTTGTAACAAAACATGTAGATGGACTCATGAGCTTTCGTGGGCACATCTGAAGACGTGGGCTGTGCCCAGGAAAGCTCATACCACCATCTACATGTTTTGTTAGCTTATAAAGTTCTACCAGACTGTTTGTTGTTTTTTTAAGTTTATCGACCTTTTAGTTAGTCCACCCAAACCATACTACTTTTAACTTATAGAAGTGATAATTTACTATCAGATTGCTTCCACTTGTGAATTTTGATAACTCTTTAGAGTAGCTTTTTTCCCCAAAAACCAGGGCACCTATTGCTACACTGCTCTAGTTTAATAGAAAGGAATGTGGATTGTAGTGACTGCCTTAAATGCCCTACAGACTATGCAGCTTCTCACTGCTGGTGAAAGGGTTTGTCTGTAAAGGGGGAGAGTTGTTTTTCAGCTCTGAAGTGGAGGCAATTGACTATCACATTGTGTACTCCTTCAGGCAGAGGAGTTTGAGACCAAGCGCCGGGCCCCGGGACCGGTTAAATGACCAAGCGCCGGGCCCCGGGACCGGTGGAAGGACCAAGCGCCGGGCCCCGGGACCGGTGGAAGGACCAAGCGCCGGGCCCCGGGACCGGTGGAAGGACCAAGCGCCGGGCCCCGGGACCGGTGGAAGGACCAAGCGCCGGGCCCCGGGACCGGTGGAAGGACCAAGCGCCGGGCCCCGGGACCGGTGGAAGGACCAAGCGCCGGGCCCCGGGACCGGTGGAAGGACCAAGCGCCGGGCCCCGGGACCGGTGGAAGGACCAAGCGCCGGGCCCCGGGACCGGTGGAAGGACCAAGCGCCGGGCCCCGGGACCGGTGGAAGGACCAAGCGCCGGGCCCCGGGACCGGTGGAAGGACCAAGCGCCGGGCCCCGGGACCGGTGGAAGGACCAAGCGCCGGGCCCCGGGACCGGTGGAAGGACCAAGCGCCGGGCCCCGGGACCGGTGGAAGGACCAAGCGCCGGGCCCCGGGACCGGTGGAAGGACCAAGCGCCGGGCCCCGGGACCGGTGGAAGGACCAAGCGCCGGGCCCCGGGACCGGTGGAAGGACCAAGCGCCGGGCCCCGGGACCGGTGGAAGGACCAAGCGCCGGGCCCCGGGACCGGTGGAAGGACCAAGCGCCGGGCCCCGGGACCGGTGGAAGGACCAAGCGCCGGGCCCCGGGACCGGTGGAAGGACCAAGCGCCGGGCCCCGGGACCGGTGGAAGGACCAAGCGCCGGGCCCCGGGACCGGTGGAAGGACCAAGCGCCGGGCCCCGGGACCGGTGGAAGGACCAAGCGCCGGGCCCCGGGACCGGTGGAAGGACCAAGCGCCGGGCCCCGGGACCGGTGGAAGGACCAAGCGCCGGGCCCCGGGACCGGTGGAAGGACCAAGCGCCGGGCCCCGGGACCGGTGGAAGGACCAAGCGCCGGGCCCCGGGACCGGTGGAAGGACCAAGCGCCGGGCCCCGGGACCGGTGGAAGGACCAAGCGCCGGGCCCCGGGACCGGTGGAAGGACCAAGCGCCGGGCCCCGGGACCGGTGGAAGGACCAAGCGCCGGGCCCCGGGACCGGTGGAAGGACCAAGCGCCGGGCCCCGGGACCGGTGGAAGGACCAAGCGCCGGGCCCCGGGACCGGTGGAAGGACCAAGCGCCGGGCCCCGGGACCGGTGGAAGGACCAAGCGCCGGGCCCCGGGACCGGTGGAAGGACCAAGCGCCGGGCCCCGGGACCGGTGGAAGGACCAAGCGCCGGGCCCCGGGACCGGTGGAAGGACCAAGCGCCGGGCCCCGGGACCGGTGGAAGGACCAAGCGCCGGGCCCCGGGACCGGTGGAAGGACCAAGCGCCGGGCCCCGGGACCGGTGGAAGGACCAAGCGCCGGGCCCCGGGACCGGTGGAAGGACCAAGCGCCGGGCCCCGGGACCGGTGGAAGGACCAAGCGCCGGGCCCCGGCAGATGTGGCTTGCCAGAGACCCATGCTACCCAGGGCGGTTGTGGCCGCGACCGGGGAGCTGGGGCAGTATTTGCGACTGGCCTGCAGGGCCTGGCCCGCCCCGCCTGCTCTGCTCTGTTGTGCATTTGTGCGTGTGAGGGGGGGGGCCGACGGGGC